GGGGCGGGGGAGGCCTGTCGTTCCTCTCGGCCGTCCCTTCCGGCCTCTCGCACCCCCTTCCCCTGGACCAGATTCCACAAGCCCCCCTTCCCCTCCCACCCCGTCCAATCCATCTGGGGACCGCCACTGGCTTAGCCGCCCGCCACGCCCCGATACCTAAAGCCCGTGCCGCCAGTCTGCGGCTCAGCCTCGTTGCCTCGCCTACCCCGCCACGCCCCGCCGACCGCCGACGTGTTGCAAAGTGTGGACGAGCTCGGCACAACACAGCGGCCCCGGCCAGTTGGATTTGCTTTGATTTGGCAGCGGCTTGTGTTTCCTCCCTACCTCACTCCGTCCCACTATCCGCCACGCCACGCCACGCCACGCCCCACACGCACGCACTTCTCTAACAAAGTCGAACCCGGCGGTCGGCTAGCGAGCATTCCACATCTCTCCTCCCTCTCCCCCTTCCTTATTTCTTTCCGTCCGCCCCACCATGTCTCCACCTCTCTCTCCCCCCCCCTTCCCCCCCTTCCCCCTCCCCCTCATTGTGTCTGTACAGTGCCCAGAATAAAAGTGATCCCTATTGCCCCCGGACTACGTTGGACTTAAGCCCGCGCGAGGCGCTCACATTCGGGATCTGGGAGGCGGGGGTAAATCGGAGCACAGGGCTAAGAGGGGGCAGTGAGGAAGCGGAGAGGGAGGGGAAGGGCTCTGTAAAATGCTGCTTGCAAACTATATTCTTTGCAACGTTGGAAAGCATTTGCAAGCTTTGTATTGCAAAGAGATTCTTTGCAAGATGTCAGAGTCCTTGCAAAAAATGTGTTTGCATTGCAAAAGAAATGGTTTGCAAGCTTTCTAAACAACTAAATTGTATTACAAATCTTCAAAAATTCTTCGAAAGCTGCAAGGAAAATAATTGCTTGCAATGAACGCATTCTTTTGCTGGCCGCCGCTCGTGCTCTGCAGCTCTCGGCCGGACCGTCGGCGTCTCTGCATCTATTTCTTGGCGCGGTGGAAAAGAAGGAATTGGAAAATAAAAGGAGGTGACCCGGTTCGGTTAGGGCCGCAATGTTGTGCCGAGAAAGAGGGGGGGGGGGCAACCGCAGCTCGATGTCTCCCCAGGGCATTCGCCCCGCTCCTCTGCAACAGCTGTGGTGGGAAAGAGAGAGAGTGTGTCTGTTGGGGGGGGGGGGGTATGCGTTGGGTTGTGACTCCGCCTTTTCCGCCTGCCGATCTCTGCCCGGGGTCCTTTGAACCTACTTACCCGGGATTGAATGCGTCACAAGTGGCACGGAGGGGTGCCGGGCGGCTGATTTGCGGAATGTGCAGGCGGCAATGCTCTCCACCTCCTACTTACTTCCTCGTCCCCCACACCATGCTCCTCTGGCTCCTCCTCCTTGCTCCTCCTCGCTCTTCCTCTTTGCTCCTCCTCGCTCTTCCTC